TGACTCATCAAATCGATGTTTTGGGTGCTCAAAAATGCAGTTGTTTGAGCCGATGTGTGAGAGCTCGCTTTGTCGTGGTGAAGAGTGATCCGTCTTTGGCGGCTGGTTTTCCTGATTTCTCGGAAGACAATTGGCAAACAAATGGTTGTGTACCACTCAGAATTGACTGTTCTGCGTTGTTCTAGTGGTACGGTTGCGACATGTCCAGTTTTTCCGAAAAAACAGGTGGAAGTGCTTCATTCGCGAACAACTTTTGTTGGATTTGGCTCTTCTTGAATCACCCATACAGTCGACTGCTATTTACTTTCGGGTTTGTTGATGTTTGAGAGAGTTAGGGTTCCGTCAGCCGAAGAAAGTAAAGTCAACTCACCTGGAATCCTGGACTTCTCTGGCTTCGGTGGTTTCCACCGCTCTTTCACACGTAATGCAAAATGGACTGTATTCTGGGTATGGACTTGTCGAAAAGGAATGCACTTTTCCGAGTCACGTTTCTCGGGTTTTTCGAGATTGCGATACGACTTGGAGTTGCTATAGCCAGCGCGAGCTTCTCGGTGAGAACTGACATACCATCTGGGGCGGCTGGCCAGAAATTATGATACAGCGGGAGCAAAAAGTGAGGGAGAAATAGTTTGATAGAGAATCTCAAATATTTCTGTTGAATGACCGAGCAATGGTTTTTGAGAATAAGTAACATAAAATATATAATAATTGAATGCTTAACCTGAAAGGGAAGAAAAAATTGAACTAAACTAAGAAGGAACGAGGAGTGAAAAGGGCTCATACGCGTAAATCCACGATTCATTACCTGTCACGATGTCATAGACGTGTTTCGAAGCACCGCGATCGTATGTTTTGAGCATTTCTTTGGACTAATCGACACGAAATTTTTTTTGAGCGATTGACACATTTATAGTGGGATCCAACGCGAACAAATTTTTCTGACAATCAAATGTTTATGCAATATTGAATGTATGCTGGTCCCACTGATGCCTAAGGTTGTCTCAATCTTACGATAGGTAACATGACGATCTTGCGCACAGCATCAATGGTTTTCGGAACAATAACTAGTTTTGGACGACCTTCTCGAAATTTGTCTTGGAGTGAACTACGACCATTGGCGTGAAGTTATCCAGAGATTTCTGGCCACACATGCTGGCCACACATCTGTGGTTGTGATACGAAATTATTAGCACCTGTACTAATATCTGTGGCTGGAAATACCTATTCACTATAGGTTGAACGTNCATGTTCTCGGTGTTCTCATGTTTTGGGTGCTCAAAAATGCAGTTGTTTGAGCCGATGTGTGAGAGCTCGCTTTGTCGTGGTGAAGAGTGATCCGTCTTTGGCGGCTGGTTTTCCTGATTTCTCGGAAGACAATTGGCAAACAAATGGTTGTGTACCACTCAGAATTGACTGTTCTGCGTTGTTCTAGTGGTACGGTTGCGACATGTCCAGTTTTTCCGAAAAAACAGGTGAAAGTGCTTTATTCGCGAACAACTTTTGTTGGATTTGGCTCTTCTTGAATCACCCATACAGTCGACGGCTATTTACTTTCGGGCTTGTTGATGTTTGAGAGAGTTAGGGTTCCGCCAGCCGAAGAAAGTAAAGTCAACTCACCTGGAATCCTGGACTTCTCTGGCTTCGGCGGTTTCCACCGCTCTTTCACACGTAATGCAAAATGGACTGTATTCTGGGTATGGACGTATCGAAAAGAAATGCACTTTTCCGGGTCACGTTTCTCGGGTTTTTCGAGATTGCGATACGACTTGGAGTTGGTATAGCCAGCGCGAGCTTCTCGGTGAGAACTGACATACCATCTGGCGGCTGGCCAGAAATTATGATACAGCGGGAGC